ACTTTGATCATGGAAGTCTGACCTGCATTTTGCAAAGTAATTCAGCAGCACTTTAAAGAATTGACTGAAGAGAAAAACAGTAGAGTGTAAGCTACGCTTGGTATTGAGATATAATGAGTCGGGGTTATAAAGGCACGAAGTAGCTGACTTACAAGCTTTCATGAGGGGGCTCAGTATCAGAAAGAGTGAAGTAAGACAGAAACCCCACTGAATAGCTTCCCTCTTGTCCATATGTGTCTGGTGATGAGAGGAATACAATTTTATGATTTAATTGTAATTGTTATCAGGTCTAATGGTGATTGTCAAAACTGTAAATGTAGAAGAGTTGTAACTAAAAGGGGGGGGGGGTAGCTAATTTTGTCATTTCAGGAACAGAGTACCCTAGGACCATCTAGAGGGAAGAACATAAGAGGAGTGAGGGGTCCTAACCAGAAAAGTGGCGACAATAGAGATGGTGGCAAAGGTGATGGATAGACAGACAGAGAAGCAGAGGACTAAAGGCCCATGGACTCAGAAAGGCAGTGTGCCTGTGGGCAGGAGGCTGGCTTGCAAAATGTGTCCTTTGGATGTTTAAATGAATATATATTTTCAATGTGGTATATGTGTACATCAAAAAAAAAGGTAATAGAGGTAAATACTGTTGGCTGAGAGTGAATGGGGGGGTTGTAATCATTGCAATGATTTGCTGAATGTAAAACTGATGGTTCACTCAATTCACAATAAAAGCTTGAAAAGAAAGAAAGAAAAAAGATATAATAAGTCTGTGCCAGGAAACAGCAGAAGGAAGGGAAAGAAGGGGACAGTCAACAGCTAGACTCTCAGAAGAGAGACATCTCAAATTCACAAAGAACCTTGTGGAACACTCAAGATGAAGTCTGCAGTGGTTATACTTTATTTCTCTTTTTCCATTTCACAAATCCCAGGAATGGTACCATTGCTAAGCTCTTGTGTCCCTTCGATGGAGATGGCTCTCTGGTGCTCCTTCAGAAGATGCAGAAAGGAAATGAACAGTTCTTGGTATGTAATTGTTGTTGTTAAGTACCATCGAGTCAGTTCGGACTCATAGCAACCCTGTATAGAGTTTCTGAGGAGTGGCTGGTGGGTTTGACTGTCGACCTTGTGGCTCAAACTGACTTTGCAGTCCAGCGCATTATCCTGCAGCACCACACCTGGACTCCTGGTCTATAATTAGATGGAAAGAAGTAGACATCACCCAGTGATATTGATGATCACTGAGCACTTACTTTATGCTATGTAGACTTTGTTTAGTATCTTATTTAGCCCTCACAGCAACCTCATCAAAAGGAAAGAAATTCATTACGCAGATGCAGAAACAAGGCACAGAGAGGTTAGATAATTTACCCAAGACATGTATCTAGTAAGTAACAAAACTAGAACTCAAATCCAGAGCCCATGAGCTCATGCGCTATGCTATGTCCGGCTTGGGTGACTGAGGGCATGGATGGTAGTGCCACACAGTGAGACTAGAACACAGCTGGACAGCAGGTTTAGATGGGACAAGATGTAGAAATGTTCAATGGTTTGGAACCTGATGAGAAATATGGAGCTCAGGAGAGAGGCCAATGCTTACAACGTAGATTTGAGAACTCGTGTAAAGATGGTGTAATCAAGGGGTGTGTGCATGAGAATGAAAGAGACCTAAAGAATGTTGGCATGTAAGACATGGGAGGAAGGTCAATGACCAGAGGAGAAAACCGACAAGAGAGGCTCTGAAGGACTGACTGGAGGAAATAATGGTAGAGAGATGGTGGCAAATGGTTTCCAGAAGGAGAGGGTGGTAAGTGGTTTCATTTACAGCATCTGAGGTGGTCACAGAGAGAGCTTGAAGAGAGCATAGTCTTTGAGGGGACTACAGGGTTTTCTTTTATTATTTTAAAATAGCTGTTTTGGATGATAAAACCAAGAAACCCAAAGCCACTGCCATCAAGTTGATTCCGACATATAGCTGTGACCCTGTAGGACTGAATAGAACTGCTCCTTAGGGCTTCCAAGACGAAATCTTTATGGGGGTAGACTGCCTCATCTTTCTTCTGCAGAGCAGCTGGTGGGTTTGACTCACTGACCTTGTTGTTAGTAGCACAGTGCTTATCCCACAGTGTCACCAGGTTATTATTACTATTATTGTTGACATAGGGAGTGCAGTGGCTCCACATCATAAGCACTGGACTACAAACCACGAGGTCCACAGTTTTAGCCTGCTAGTTGCTCTGTGTAAGAAAGAGGAAACCTTCTGCTCCCTCAAAGATTTAAAGCCTTAGAAACCCTATACAGGCTCACTTTGAGTCAGAACTGAATTGTTAGCACTTAACAACAACAATCATTGACATATAATAAACTGCCCATACTGAAAGTGTATAACTTGATAAGTTTTTACTTATGCACATGTGCTTGGAATTATCACCATGATCATTTGATGAACCTATCTCCCCAGAAGTGTTGTGTACCCCTTTCCAATCTCTCCTTTTCCTCCTCCAATCTACTGGTAACGGCTGATCAATTATCTATGACTCAACATTAGTTTGGAGTCTCTGCATGGTGTAAACAATGGATGTGCTTGGCTGTTAATTGAAAGGTTGAAAGTTTGAGTCCACCCAGAGGAGTCTTGGAAGAAAGACCTGGTAATTTGCTGCCCAAAACTCAACCACAGAAGTCGTTATGTACATGTTCAATTTATGTTCAGTTCTAGTTTTATTCTGACATACATGAGTTAGTTCTCTGTGAGTCAGCGCCAACTCGATGGTATCTTGTTACTGGTTACACACTAGTTTACATTTTCTAGAATTTTATATAACTGGAATCATACTCTGTGTCTCTTTTTGGTGTGACTTCTTTCACTAGACATAACTATTTTGAAATACATCTATCTTGTTACTCGTTAGTCCATTTCTTTCTATTTCTGAGTAGCATTTAATTGTATGGATATATCAAAATCTGTTTACCCGTTCACCTAGTGATGGACATTTGTGTTATTTTCCATTTCAAGCTATTTTAAAGCAACTATGAACATTCCTGTGCATGTCTTCGTGTGGACATAAGCTTTCATTTCTCTTGGCTAAATACCTAGGAGCAAATGGTCAGATCATATGCAGGTATATAAGAGAGAGCTTCAAAAAGTCCATGAAAAAAGAATCTATTATTTAAATTCCATTTTCCCACGATCTTTTTGAAGCCCCCTTATATTCAACGTTTTTAAGGAATGTTTCCAAAGTGGTTGCACTCTTTTAAATCCCTCCTCCCCCACTCCAGCCATGAATGAGAGTTCCATTTTCTTCCCATAGTCACCAATGCTTGATATGGACTGTAACTTGACTAGACCAGGATTCCCATGGGTTGGAAATTAAGATATGCTTATTCCCATGGTGATGAAACCTATCACAAGAATAGTTAACTCTAGGATGAGTGGCTATAAGTAGTCTATCAATTAAAGGGCTTCTTCTTTGGGGTGTGGCTTGCTCCCAATATAATGAACAGACAAGAAAGACCCTCTCTCTTCCACTGGGGACCTGGGACTGAGCAATTGTGAGCCATTCCCTTGATAATAAACTTTTCTTTATATATATATTTCACTGGTTTTGCTTCTCTAAAAAAACCGGCCTAAGACATGGATTGTCTTTTAAATTTTAGACATTCACATTTGTGTGTAGTGGTATGTCTCATTATGATTTAAATAGGCACTTACCTAATTATATTGAGAACTTTTTGTATGATTACTGGCCATTTGGTGAAGTATCTGACCAACTCTTTTGCCCATTTAAAAAGAGAATTGGGTTGGTTGTTTTCTTATTGAGATTCGAGAGTTTTTTGTGCATTCTGGATTCATGTCCTTTTTCAGTTACATGAATTGCAAAGATTTCTCTCCCAGTCTGTCTTTTCACTCACTTTACAATGTTTTTATGAAGAAAGTTCTAAAATTTTATGAAGTTGAATTTATCAATTTGTTCTTTTATGAATTATGTTTTTCATGTCATGTCTCAAAAATTTTTCGCCTGATCCAAGGTCACAAAGATTTTCTCCGGTGTTTTCCTCTAGAGTTTGAGTTTTAGGCTTTTCGTTTAGGTCTATGATCTACAGTGAGTTAATCTGTGTACGTGACTGGTCTGATTGCTGCAGCACTTTTTGTTGAAAGCCTGTCCTTGTTCCACTGAATTACATTTGCACTTTTGCAAAAAATCTGATTGTTTTGGGGTCTATTTTTTGCTCTCTGCTCTGCTCCATTGATCTAGTTGTTAATTTTTTACATCAATACCACTCTGATTTGATTACTTTAAAATAGGTTTTGAAGTCAGATAGTGTTACTCCTACAACTTTGTTCTTTTTTCCCTCAAAGTAGTTTTTGTTTTTATAGATAATTTTCTATTCTACAGAGATTTTCAATTTCTATCAAAAGACCTGCTGGGATTTTGAAATGACGTAAATCTATTGATCAATATGTGAAGAATTGGTATTTTGAGTCTTTTGACCCATGAACACAGTAAATCTTTTCATTTTATTTATTTATTTATTTTTAAACTTTTAACATAGTTTATTGACTTAGAGAACAAAGAAGGCAGCAATTGGTCACTTAAGGAACCTCATTGAAAATAGTACATCACAGTGCTATCGAGTGATCCCAGATACAGGATTTGAGGATGGAAAGGATAATCTTTGGGTGATATTGCTTAGGATACTTACTTATTTATTAAAAAGCGTTCCACTGTGGATGGAAGAAGGGAAGGGTAGGATTGCAGTGTTTGCCCACTGGATGCTGGGAGCTGATCCATGAGTGCAGGCAGACTGATAACTCAGGAAAGGCAGGGGAAGAGAGTGAGACCAGCCTGCCCACCCCTCCCCATGACTCCAGTAAACTGGATTCACTGACCCACTATCCCATGAGTACATCACGTATCTCTTTCAAATGTGGAGATGAATGATTTCATGCTGTAGGAAATTAGATTTAGTAGTCAAAGTCTTCCTGTTCCAAGTTATAGAGAATACAGTACAATAGTTCATGTTCCTGCATTCTTGGACTGGGAACTCATGAGGTTCTGAGATAAAAGCTGAGGTCTTAGGGCACCAGCTTAAAAAAATGTCATCACCAGTACAGAGTAAATCAAAACCTGATTCCATAGAAATTATAATACTGGAGTTCCCTGTTTCACACCATCCAGTCACAGTGTTTTTTTTTTTTTTTTTTTATTAAAAATTAATTTTCTCCTTTATTTATGCTTTAAAAAATTCTCATCTCTGTGGGGAAAAAGCCCACCTCACTATAGTAACACTGCTGCTCTCCCCAGTACTCCTCTCGAGCCCCCTGACCACCCCTCCCCTCTGCCCAGCACCTAAGAGCAGTGATCACGCCTCGGGATGATGAACAACGGTGCAGTCTCTCCTGGTCTTCTGGTCCTAGGATGTGACTTTGGAGAAGGCTGCTAGGATGCTTGCAAACACTATGTCAGGGTTCTGGGGCGCATTGATGGTACAATGGATGCCGTGTTTCTGGGAGTAGTCCACCAGTGGGGTGGTCTGAGTATGGTAGGCTTCCAGGCGGATTTTCAGGGCCTTCTCGTTATCATCTGATCCGTGGACCAGGGACTTTCCACTGATGTCATCTTTCCTGGGCTCCTTTTGGGTGTTGAACGGCCACTCATGGAGTGAATCAGCCTTCCTGTGATTCTCCGGATGAGCAGAGAGTCTGGGATACTGAATTCAATCAGAGAATCAAACTTCTCTTTCGTCTTCACCATGAGGTCGTGGAGCATTTCTGCCTGCGTCACAGTCCGAGGGAAGCCATCTAAAAGAAAACCGTTCTTGCATGATGGGGTCTCCAAATTCTTTTCAATGAGTTTCACCATTATTTTATCACTCACCAGTTTCCCAGTACCTATTGTTGCCTTCAGCTTTTCCCCAACTCTGAACCAGAAGCCACCATGGCCTTCAGCATGTCCTCAGTAGATAACAGCAAACACAGAAGTTTTCAGCCAATTTGGGTTCCTGGGTACCCTTCCCAGCGCCGGGCAGCCCTAGCAGCACAACCTGGAGGCCTTTAAAATATTCTCAGGCCGGCTCCTCCGATGGAAAATTGGGAGCCGTGTCTGCGGAAACTTGAGGCTACCGCCTGCCCGCCTCAATGGATGTATTCTTGAACTTCTCTCAGCAAAACTACTCAAATTTTGCTCAACTATTCTTGAACATCTTTTTTCAGGTTTATACCTAAGTATTTCATACTTTATTCTATTATTACAAGGGGGTATTTCTCTTTTAAATTTAAATTTGATTGGCTATTATTGCTAATATTAAACTTTTTTTAACCTTAAGAAAAGTATCCGTGAACACTTCTAGGAGATTAAATATTAGCATTTATTAAAATATTCTTCAAAGCTTCAGAATTTTATCCGAATCCAGATTAGTTTTGGGTGATTATGCTAATTAATTGTTTGGGATTATGCTAAATAGACATCACAACTATGAAAGGATTGCTGTTGTTGTTGTTAGGTGCCATCGAGTTGGTGTCAACTCATAGCAACCTTATGCACAGCAGAACGAAACACTGCTTGATCCTGGGCCAACCTCACTATTGTTGCCACACTTGAGGCCATTGATGCTTCCACTTGGCCAATCCATCTCGTTGGGAGTCTTCCTCTTTTTCTCTGACCCTCCACCTTGCCAAACATGATATCCTTCTCCAGTAACTGGTCCCTTCTGACAATATGTCCGAAGTATGAGAGACAAAATTTGGCCATCTTGGCTTCCAAGGAGTACTCTGGCTGCACTTCTTCCAAAACCGATCTATTGGTTCTTTTGGCAGCTCATAGCACTTCCAATATTGTCCTCTAACACCATAACTCAAAGGCATTGATTCTTCTACCGTCTTCCTTATTCACTGTCCAGCTTTCGCATCTATATGAGGTTATTGAAAACATCATGGTTTGGGTCAGGCACACCTTAGTCTTCAAGCTGACATCTTTGCTCCTCAACACTTTCAAAAGGCCTTGTGTAGCATTAAGATGTTTGAAATTCTGGCAATCTGCCTAGTTAATTTACTATGATTTCAGGGGGCATTCCATAGAGAATGTGCAGTTTGCACCGCAACAGCAGTATCTTTATCTGGTTCTTTACAGTGTGGAGGGGAAAATACTCACTTTTGAAATTAGAAGAATGTATGAGGTTAAATCAAATAGTATCCATGCCTTTTGCTAGGTGCTTTGGAGTCAGTTCTGGCTCACCGTGACCCTATGTACAGCAGAACAAAACTGTGCCCAGTCCTGCACCAACCCCAAACTGTTGTTAGGTCTAACCCATTGCTGCTACCACCGTGACGATCCATCATGTTGGGGATTGTGATACTTAAAATTTTGTGTCAACTCAACTGGATCAGGAGTCTCAATGGTTAGGCAGTTGAGATGTAGTCATGCCCATAATGTGATTTGATGTGATAAACTACTAAAAAGATTAAGGGTGAGATAGTTCACTCTTAATCCAACTACCACCCAGATCCAATCTACAGTAGAGTTCCCAGGGCATTGCATGCAACACTTTTTATCTTATAAGAGATAGAAGGTGAGAGACTTGAGCAGAGAAAGAGGGACCCTCTCACCAAGAATTATAAGCCAGGAGTGGCGTGCGTCTTTTGGACCTGGAGTCCCTGCGCTGTGATGCTCCTAGATGGAGGGAAGATTGAGGCCAAGAGGTGTGGCGTTCTCCAAGGAATACTGGACCTGTAGATGGTGAAAGGAGTCAAGGGCACATACCCAGAGCCAACAAAGAGAAAACCTTCCTCTAGAGCTGACATTCGGAATTTGGACGTCTAGTCTCCTAAACTGTGAGAGAATCAATTTCTGGTTGTTAAAGTCATCCACTTGTATTTCTGTTATAGGAGCACTAGATAACTAAGACAGGGGTCTTCCTCTTTTTGTTGACCATCCACTGTACCAAACATGATGTCCTTCTTCAGGGACTGATTCCTCCTGACAACATGTCCAATACACAAGAGACAAAGTCTCACCATCCTGGCTTCTAAGATTCTTATGGTTGCACTTCTTCCAAGACAGATTTGTTGTTTCTTCTGGAAGTCCATGGTTCTTTCAGTATTTTCACCACCACCATATTTCAAATGCATCGATTCTTCTATGGCCTTTCTTATTCATTGTCCAACTTTTGCACATGTGGCTTTTGAAAATATTATGACTTGATAAGTTCACAGGTTTAGTCCTCAAAGACATCTTTCTCTTTAACACTTTAGAGAGGTCTTTTGCAGTAGATTTGACAAATTCATTGTTTGATTTTTGACTGCTGCTTCCATGAGTGCTGATCGTGGACCCAAGTAAAATGAAGTCTTTGACAACTTCAATCTTTTCTCTATTTATCTTGATGTTATTTACTGGTCCAGTGTTGTTGTGGTTGTTACTCATAGCAACCCTGTATAGGGTTTCTGAGGAGCAGTTGGTAAGTTTGAACCACTGACCTTGCAGTTCAAACTGACCTTGTGGTCTAGTACTTAACAACAGTGCCGCACCAGGTTGCGGATTTTTATTTTCTTTACATTATGCTACAATCCACACTGAAGGTTTTGGTCTCTGATCTTGATCAGTAAGTATTTTAAGTCCTCTTTGCTTTCAGCAAGCAAGGTTGTGTCATCTACATATTGCAGGTTGTCAATGGACGAGTCTTCTTCCAATCCTGATGTCACATTCTTCTTCATATAATTCAACTTCTTCAATTATTTGCTCTGCATATTGATTGAACAAATATTGTGAAAGAATTCAACCCTGGTGCATACACTTCACGATTTAAACCATTCGGTATTTCTTTTTACTGTTCAGACAACTGCCTCTCAGCTTATGTACAGGTTCCTCATGAGCACACTTAAGAATCCTATAATACTCATGGTCCTCTAATAATGCTATCCATAGTTTGTTATGATCCATACAGTTGAATTCCTTTGTATAGTCAAAAAAGTAGAAGTAAACATCATTCTTGTATTCTCTACTTTCAGTCACGATCCATCTGACATCAGCAATGATATCCTTTGTTTCACATCCTCTTCTGAATCCAGCTTGAATTTCTGGCAGCTCCCTGTTGATGTACTACTGTAACTGGTTTTGAATGATCGCTAGCAAAATTTTTCTTGCATGTGATTTTAATGATATTATTCTTTGATATCCACATTCCATTGGATCACCTTTTTTTTTTTTTTTTTTGGAGTTGACTCACATATGGGTCTCTTCCAATCAGTTGGCCAGGCAGCTGTCTTCCAAATTTCTTGGCATAGACAAGTGAGTGCCTCCAGTGTCGCATCAGCTTGTTGGAAGATTTCAATTTGTCTTCCATCAATTCCTGGATACTTGTTTTTAACCAATGCTTGCAGTCCAGCTTGAACTTCTTCCTTTAGTACAGTTGATTCTTACACGTATGGTTTTATTCTAAACAAAACTTATTTAAACATGTCTCTGAAATTAGTGAACGGCTGCAGACAAGTTTTCTCACTAATGCACTTGTTGTAGTCTCATTAGGGTGTCTTCACAAAAAGAAAAAAAGAAAAAGTTCCCAATAAACACTGCATTTTGAGGGTATCTACTAGACTGGTAGCATAGTGGTTACGAATTGGGCTGTGAACAGCAAGGTCAGTAGTTCGAAACTACCAGCTGTTCTGCGGGAGGAAGATGAGGCTTTCTGCTCTCATAAAGATTTATAGCCTTGGAAACTGTACAGGGTCTCTATGAGTCGGAACCAATTCCATGGTATATAAACACCACCAACCACTGGGCTGGTGAAATTCAAGGTCAGCTCAGAAGGTAATGGTGATTACTTTTTGGGATCTCAACGGGGGAATATTGATAATTTTTTTTTGAAACACACAGTATGATCATGGAGGCTTATTACAAAGAATTACTAAGAAAAGAGAAAACTACATTGGTGATAAAAAAAAAAGCCAGGAAAGTTTTTCTGAGGAATTTTTTTATTACAACAGTGTGCCGGCTCATTTTTCAAGGGCAGCAAGTGCTGTCCTACAA